CTCAGTACAAATGCCCTCCGTTGTTCGTCTCGATACAACTTGGGTGCACCTGCACCCGCGTACTCTTGAACAATATACGACCTTCTCTTCGCCTCACTCAGGCTCCATTTTTATGCTCATGGCTCGTCTTTACATATTCCTCACAACACTCCTTGCCAACCGCTTAGCCACTGTCGCATCGAGCATCGAGCATATATCAGATCAAGCACAACGAGCCGACGAAATCACCTCGGCCGCAAATGCTGTACACACTATGTGCGCGCGCACTCAAGAAAACAAATTGACAGTCGGAGGCACAGTGAGCAGTTTGTTGCCGTTTCTAGTTTTAATTCTGTAAACGGCTTAATTGGAAGGCCTTCCTTGGCGTCTTTTGCTCGATTTTGACGCCTCATAAGAGGTACGCGTATACCCACTTTCACACAAGAGCTTTGCGTTGTCATTGAGCGTAAAATGTTCAATGAATCCCAGCGACCTTTCTGACTACTATTCGGTTCATTGAATTCATCGACTACGCTACCTAATTCTCTTGGCCAGCAACAATGAGCTTGAGCTCCGAATATCCGAGTAGCAAGTCCGCGATTTACGGGAGTGGAGACGACTTAAAACATCTATCAAAGTTTGAACCATTAAATAATATTGACGTCATGACATCATTTATGACGGTAATTTATTTTATTTGGACCATAGACGACACTCGATTTCTAACTCCGTTCGACTTTGTAGCCGCGTAGAGAGAGAGAGAGAGAGAGAGAGAGAGAGAGAGAGTACAATTTTCTGCAGCATAATTACATCCATCTAACGAGCAAGCTCGTACAAATGTTAGATAACGTTCTTAAAGACACTTTTCCAAGGAACCACCTTAATTTTATTTATTTGCGTATTGAATTAAAATAAAAATTTTCGGTTTTCTAATGCATAATTAATATCCTATAATTTTCACAGTGCTGGAGGCTCATTTCGACGAACAAGCTTTTGTTATTAATGTTCTATCGTTATGCGCTTGCAATGTATTTTGCCAATATTAAATGAATTTGTTTGCATTGTCTTTTTATTCGGACCACAAAATGTAATTGCTTTTATTTGGATGAAAATTTTATGTTTTAATTTTTGTGAAACCATGAACGTAAAAAATTGAAAATCTCAAATGCAAAAGTGAATTTATTATTCCAATTTTTGTTATATTTATGTAGTGAGCCTATGCCAAATTTTTAAAAATAACATATTATATTAATGATAAAAAGTAACGATTACTATTAAAACATGTTATAAGAGAGAAAAAGTTAGTTATTTGTTTTTGCTGCGCAAAGAAGCAACTCGCTACATATTAGAGGTACATTGTACTTTTATGTAGTAATATTTAAAATTATTAATGCTACTTGAATTATTATTTTTCCCATTCTTCTACTATTTATAATACTCAAAAAGTGGTAATTTTATTTTAATTAATTATAAATTACTTATAATAATATTTCAAATCATTTCATACATAATTATGACTCTTCAATTTGCTTGCTAATATTATGGAAATAATATCTATAAACTCCTCTGATATACGGAGATACTAATATTGGCAATTGGAGAAATGGGAGAAGAGACGATGTCGACAATGATAAACAAGTTATACGTAAAACTATTATGTGTGTTTGGAGTGGATTTGCACTGGATTTCTATTATATATTTTCATTACTTCTATTAAATTTGTATATAATTAATTAATCGTTTGAACAATTTATTATATGTCTCTTCAAGTTGCATTAAAATACTGATGCGTTTCGTAAAACGTTCGCGGTCAGAAGCAGGTAATTTAACAATTTTGATTAATATAAATGAATTATCAAACATTGTGTAAAGGGAACATTTATATTCCCAATCAAAATTGTCAAATAATAAATGTTTTTTATTCTGCTCTCTGTAAATTCTGAATTAATTAATACATTATTTTTTAATCCATTAAATTAAAAAATCAATGATACACAATTGGGCTGTTTTTTTAAAAAAAATGTTTTGATGTTTAGATATTTCAGAATAAATATATATTTAATTCGTTAGTAATATATTGCTTTATATATGTTCATTTAATTAACATAAAATTAATTTTTTATAATTTTAACTATTACGTTTCGATAATATTCACGAATATACACATGAATACATGTTATTCTATTTTTTAAATTACATTATATTCTTATTACTATAATTATAGGCATATAGTAAGTCTACTCAACATTTATATCTCTAAAATAAATATGTAGATAAAATAATTATTTTACAATTTTTAATGCAATTATTGTTGCATTACTTTTATATTTCGATTTAAATAAAAAGTAGAATTGAAATACTACATATTTCATTTATAATCATAGGAAAATATATCATTTATAACATTTAATAAAAATTTATTGTTGAAACTATAATAATAACTAAAGAACAAAATTTATTAAGAAATATTTTATAAGTTGCCAAGTTTTACAAGGTCACTTATACTTATAATTTTTTCGTGATGTATATTCGTGAAAACACTTAAATATACAATGTTCAGTTATTCATTAAAGTGTTTCTATTATGAAAAATTGAATTTTTCGTATATTATGCTAATTTCAATTGAAAATCATATTGAAAAAGTCATTATTTATAAGAAAATGATTATTTTTTAATAACATATAACAACTTTTTATTTCTAATAAAAATGTATTTAAGTAAATAAAATTTTTAGGGTAGGTATCTTAGCAAATTTTAATCATTGATATAATTTTAAAAGGCAATCAAAATTTTAATGTATTAATTAATATAGAACTTAATACAAAGATATAATTAAGTACATTAAATTATTTTTAATTGCACTTATTAGAACTTTTTTTAATTTAACAAAGGAAGTTAAATTGTTAATCATTTTATTTATTTTATAGTTAATTATTTTCTTGTTATTTTCTCAATATTTAATTGTACTCTTTAGAAAATGTTTAAACTTAAGTGTAAAATTAAGCTTTTTTATTATCAACATTATATATATACATCACATTTTAGAATACATAGATATACACATAATATATATTTATCCATGGATATATATCCACACATGTAAGTATAAATCTTAAGTTATATATTTTATCTTATTTTTAAAGTAGATAGTATTATTTTCAATATAGATTTTTTTTATTTACTTTTTATAAATCATATAAGTAATGAACTCGTGTTTTCCTAACAGGGGTCAGTGAGTTTATATATTTTTTTTGCTGATAATTTAATGTTCCTGAGACGGTTCAAGTTGTCTGATAAAGGGAAGTTAAATATTAAATTTAATCTAATCTGATCGTTAAATTAAGTTTGTTAAATTAAGAATGATATCAGTAATTTAAATTTCTAGTATTATAATTTATTTGATTCACATATATTTAATTAATATTTTAATCAATGTTTGCCAAATTTACATGTAACTGTCACGAAAATTGATGTATCAATTCATAAAAATTTTTTATATTATTCTTTATTATGTTTTTTACATCTTAAAATATTAAATATTTATCATCTAGTACTTTATAATTATGAAAATAAAAAGTAAATAAGTTTAAAAATATAACCCAAAAATATTTTTATTGATGAAGGTTTTATTAAATGTATAAGATAACTAGATAACGTTTTCTGCTTTCATGAAAAATTCCAAATTATTCACATTTTTTATCCTTGTTCAGATAATAATTGTTCTATTTCTTTTTTTAATATTTCATTCGCCGGCTATACCATTAAACAGTTTAAAAATTAACAAAAAAAAAAAAATTAAATTTACGGGATGTATGTCATGCAGTGTATAAAATGGCGTCGTGAATTTGACACGTTTTCATAACCACGCGCACAACTTTAATTCTGCGTAACTCTTTCTTATATAGATATGAGTATTCTCTATGCGCTCAAATGTTCTGTCTCATCACGGCTGGACGGAATGACTACAGCAATGTGCAGCTAAGGCTGCAGTGTGGTTGTTCAGAGTTCTGAGTAGTAATGTGGGAATTGTTGACAACAATAATAACGACGACGACGACGACGACAACGACAACGACAACGACAACGACAACGACAACGTCGACGAAGACGAAGACAACGACGGCGACATCAACAAAGTTCACGTCTGCCACTGTCAGCGTTACAACATGACTAGTCGACGAAGCACTATTCCAACGATGAAATTTATATTCGCGGTCTTTATGATCTTGGTATCTGTTTTATTACCTTGCAGAGCCAAGATTTCTGATAAGCGGTTATGTTACGACAAGGCTTGCTCAGGTGTGTATAAAACGTACAATCGAAGCCATACTTTAGCCAATTTGTAACCTATTCCTAGAGAGCTTTTTAAACATATTTTTCACCTTTATTAATACAATAATTATCTATTCATTTAATAAATGACATGTAAATTATAACTTTATTGCAGTTATAATTTCTAAGGGCAAAACTATTATACCGTATAACTCCAAGGATCATGATGTCCTTAGCTTCCCTGTTAACACTAATGTTAATATTTTCAGTAAACAAGCAGGCAGTAGACAAGATTTATGGGGTGTGGAGGTAATCATCTAATATTTAAAAATGACATTGTGATTTTATTTAAAAAAAAGAAGCAGATTTTCATTTATAAAAAAAAATATTTTCTTGATTATACCAATTTATTTATTTTGAATATTAAATTTTATAATTTTATATAGATTTTTATGAATATTTATAAATGCATTTCATACATTCAATATATTTGTAATAAATTTATATTGTTTAAGAATAAGATTTTTTATTCTTTTTAAAAATATTTAATAAAAATCTTAAATTAATTTAAGTACTATTTTTTATTATATTTATTAAACTATTTAGTATTTTATTACAAATAATTTTTTTTAGATTAAGGGAAAGCGTGGCTATGCCCCATCAAAATTTATTCGTGAATATCAAATTTTACATACAAAATTAGAATATACAGTGCCTACTAAGGGACTTGATAAAGAAAGAGTTGATAATATCTATGACACTGAAAATCTAGATAAAGATAATCTTGCTAATTTTTTTAGCAGTGAACAGCAAGATCATAATAATATTGTGTTACCAAAGTATGTATCTACAAATAATTTAGAAGAAAATATTGTTCCACATCCAGTTTCACCTTCCTATGAATCTGTATATGATGGAACTATTTTACCCCATGAACATGTTAAGGAAGAATTACCTCCACCAACATATTCAACCAAAATTTTGGAAAATAATATTAAGATCGATAAAGAAGTGCGATTGAATGTATATCCAAATCTTATAAGTTCAACATTTCCTATATTATCAGATATTTTTAGCAATATAAATTCTGAAGATAAAAGTACTGAAGATTCTGAAAATGAAAGTATTGAAAATTCTAATGAAAAAGACAATGATGATGCTTCATTGAAAGAAATGATACTTGAAAATGTAAAGACTGATGAATCTAGTCTTAATTCAGAAAAAGAGTCTAACATACTATCAGAAAATTTAGTGATTGAGGATAATATTCACCGTATTTATAATAATAAAGTTGTATTTCAACAATTAATTGAAAATGATAACAATCATACCGATTCATTAATTCAACTTGAAGATAGTGAAACAAATATTAAAAGTGAAATCAATGAAATACATAATATAGAAAATGAAGCAATAAGTAATTTAAAAAATGAAATTGAAAGTAGCGAACATGAAACTATAGCAAATAAAGTAGAAATCAGTGACAAAGCTACTTTTGACAAGGAAAGTAAATTCAGTGAAAAAAATACTTCAAAAAAAGAAAATCAAATTAGTAAAGAGAATACTTTAAAACTAAAAAGTAAAATCAGTGAGGAAGATATTTCAAAAGAAAAAAGTCAAGTAACTGAAGTAATTAACTTAAAGGAAGAAGAAACTACTGCAAAAAGTAAAAATACTGGAAAAGTTGAAAGTGAAATAATAAATATTACAGAAAAAATAATCGAAATTCATTTAGACGAAATTAATTCAGGTAATTTTATAAATAATAATGGAAATGTACAACAAACTTCTTCACAGCAAGTGAACAATAATGATAGCTCTATTATAGAAGAAATCAATACTATAATTGAAGATTTTCAGAATATTGTGCCAAAGCAAAATGAAGTAGATATTATTGATAATTTAATTAGTACTGATTATTATACAAATGACATAGTAAATGAAAAAATGCTACTAAACGAGCAGAAAGTGTTAAATGAGACTTTTGTTCCTGAAAGTGTAAATTTAACAATTTCTGAAGTGCCTTTGAAAAATAATGAATCAGTCATGGTATCTGTTGAACTTTCTTTACTTTCTGAAAAACCATTTAATCGCAATTTGTCTAAAAATGAAATAATTGACAATAATAATGTTGAGATTGGTATTAATTTAACTGTAAATAATTTATTTGTTGAATCAGATTTATCAAATAGTTCAGGCAATTTGGAAAAACAACTTGAAGTTAATGACAATATAATAGGCAACAATAATTACATTGTAAATGAACCTGCAAATCTTGATAATAATTCTCCTGTTGAGAATGCAAAATATAGTTTACAATTTGTAGATTCTAATCATAAATATGTAGATGTGCCATCAACTTCAAGCTTTGGTGAATTTCTGGGTAACAGAAATTTGCTGAATGCTAAAAAAGGTACATTTTTACATATTACAATTTCGTGTTTTAATGTGATTTAAACATTTAACACAATTTATTCTAATAGATTTTCTAGATTCAGAGGAAATCGAATTAGATAGAGTATTGGATGAAAACATTGAAACTACAACTTCTGAAAATAATGCAAATCATAATAGTGATGTTAAGCAGGAGGAGGAGAATAACAGTTTTAAAAAAGAACTTTCAATAAATAGTATCGAACAAATAGGTTTTAAGTTTATTTCATTAAGAATTATCAAATAAATTATAATAGTCTTTATTAAGCATAATAATTTTTTTTTTAATAGTTTTACATCGAGATACTTGTGATAAGAGCTATGATAGTTCAAGTTATGTGAGTATTCTTATTTTTAATGAATCATGCACATTTGATAATTATAAATCAATTTAATTTTTTATGGTATGCAATTTCTATTTTGTATAGGAATACCAAATGAAAAAAAAATAAAATTTTAAGTTGCTTTATATATTTTGAACCAAGTTTATATAAGAATTTAATTATATTATATATTTTGAATATATTTTTTAAATTTAGGATATCAATAATCAATACAAGGTTGATGAAAATGCAGTAACAAATGCAAGAAAGATAGAAAATAGTTCTGATTCATTATTATATGTTTGTATTACTGCTGTAACGACTCTACTATTTTCTCTTGGTTACTATATAATCGAAGTAAGTTATATAATAAAACTAAACATCCTTATATGATTAAAATTATTAAAATTCAGATATTGATCTAAATAGAATAGAAGACGCGATGGCCATTTCATAGCGAAGATTAACAATCTCGAGAAAGATTTAATGATAACAAGGAAAGAATGTATTATGTTAGACGAAAATTTGAAGTCTACCAAAGCAAAAGTAAGACATTTATGTGTATGCAATTTATGAGCTTTATTTTTAAATTTATAGAAAAATTTTTCATTATAATTTTACACGTAAAATTATTATTATATAATTTACATAATTATATAATTTAATATTATTTTTAGTTGGATTCAATTGAAAATCAATCGTTTGGTTCCAATGAAATGGTGTTATCATTAAAAACAGAATTATCAACTTCTGAGGTAATTATATGCATACATTTATAGCATATCTTATGCCCAGTATATAAAGATCATATTAAAATATTTTTTATAAAGAATCTTAGAGCAAAGATGGAAGATCAGATTACTTCACTAGAAAAAGAGTTAGAAAGTACATCAGAAGCCGGTTTAGAATTAGAACGTATGCTGCGTGAGATACTTTCATCTCATAGTGAAGAAAACAATCCACTAGCTCAGTCTATTGAAGATTTACAAGATCGATTGAATGATCAACAAATTGCTAATGAATCGTTAACAAATACTGTTACCGCTAAAATTAAAGAGGTAAAGTTTATATTTTAATTAAAAGATTTATTTTATCAACATTTATTAATAATAAATAATTTTAATTAATTTTAATACATTTCTATTAAATTTTATCAGATAAATTTCTAAATTTATATGTATATGCATTTAAACAAAGTTCAGTATTTTATCATAGTAAATTTTTAGTTATTTATGTTATTTGTAATAATAATTTTTTATAGAATGAAATACTCTCTGAAGATCTTAAAATTAGTTTTAAAAAAGTAGAAGAATTGCGGGACGAAATTACTAGGTTGACAGATGAATTAAAAACTCAAATAAGTAGTAGAATACATTTGGAGCAAAGTTTATCTGATCAAGTTCAAAAACTTCAACTTCAGATTAAAACTGTAAATAGAAGAATAATTATAATATCAATTATAATTAGTTTTAATGTTTCATTAACCTGCCACCTTTTAAAATTTAGATTACTGAAGATAAATCTCATTTACGTAAACAATTAAGAGGAAAAGAATTAGAGATTAAAGAATTTATCGAAGTTGTGGAACAAATGCGGACAAACAATTTCGATTCTGAAAAATTATATGAGGTTTCGAAAGTTAAAGCCGAAGTTGTGCACCTTCTAGAAGAAAGAGATGAACTTAAAAATAAACTTAGTGAAGAAGAAGGTGCTCACCAATTGCTCGAAGGTTTGTAAATTTTATTCATATTATTTAAGTACTTATTTATCTTTTAAATTTGTTTTTAGAACACGTAAATATTATAACACAAGAGGTTGCTTTTCTGAGTCAACAATGTAAAGTAGCTGAAAAGGAAAAAAAAGATGCAGAAACACGACTGGAAGTGTTAACCAAATTTTTTGAAGAGAAAGAAATTCAAAGACAAAAGTATCATTTTTAATATACTTATTTAAAGAAGATTTATTACTAAATTAATCCAAATATTTAAATATGTACAAAATTTTAGAGAAGAAGCAATTTGGTTAGAAAAGCAAGGAGAAGTTTCATCTACAGTAGAAAAACTACAAACTATGCAAAAAGAAATACTTAATTACAAGTAAACTTTTTTTTATAAAATCGAATATAATATACTATATATTTTGATTTATTTGTTTGATTTTTTTTTACAGACAGCAAATAGAAATGTTGAAAAGGGAAATTCTTGATCAAGAAAGAGAGTATAAAAATCAAATGTCAATCTTTGAAACGAAAGCCCATGAACAATGGGTTTGTATAATTTTAATTTAATGGGAATATTTAAGTAGTATATTTTAAAGTAAGAATTTAACTAATTTAACGATTTAATTTTTATTTAATAAGGTGACTGCACGACAAAATGAACGGCGTTTGGAAGAAGTCAAAGCCGAATCAAGTCAGTTACGTAATCGTCTAACTCTTGTTGAGAAAAATATAAATGATGCAGATCCAGAAATTAAATTACATCGTAAGTTTTTAAAAATAATCGTTAGTAATTAGTAATTATATTATTTTTTTTTCCTAAACATCTTACAGTCAGAAAAATAGTTGAGTATAGTAGATTGAAAATGTAATAAATTACATTTTGATTCACTTCACATTTATTTAAGTCATATTTTTAATTATTTCAAGTTATGTTTAACTTACTGAAAGAAGTTTGGAAATATGTCTATTTTTATATTTTTATTTGAAGAGCAAGTAGTAATCGAAATTGCGACATAAATAAAAATAACGCGTTTATATAACCTTATATAATTATATAACGTAATTATTTTTAAAATGAATTATTTTTATATTTCAATTGATATAAAAATGAAACAATTAATGATTAATTTTTTTAAACATATATTACAATATAAACACTATAAAACACTAGCAATACATTACTATATTATATACATATATATATACACACGCCATACTTGCGCGCACGTACATGCACACGCATATAATATAAAAGTTTGGAGAGCAATGATCGGTACCGACATTCATTATATTTAATTATACTATTAGTTGTTTAACGCTTTTCATTATTACATTAATAACTTGACTATATTTATTAGGAGTGTCAATTTATTAAAATGATTATGCATCATTATTAATTAAATACTGAATTTAAATTATTAAAGTCTATTATATAAGTCTATATAAGTTATATAGACTTATATAAGTATAGTCTATTATTCTATATTAGTCTATATTTATATAGATTATCTAATATATAGACTATCTAATAATCTATATAAGAAAACAGTCTATATAAACTTATATAATACTAATTCATAACTATGAGTTTCAGATTTCAGATATATATTATAATGATTGTAATTTATAATATTAGATAAAAATAGATTTTATGTTTTATTTAAAGATTTTCATTTTAAAATAGTCTTAATTAAAAGCATATATATATATATATAGAGAGAGAGAGAGAGAGAGAGAGAATAGTAAATGAAGATAATAAAATAAGATAATAAAATAAAAAATTATAAATTTATTACGATTTAGATCAATTTTAATGTTGATTATGTATTATATACATGTAGTATAAATATTATATTGCAACAATAGCTATAAATATATCTATTTACATTTAATTGCAATTTAATTCCTTCAATTATAGTAAAACTTGAATTTTAAAAATAAATATTAAATTATAAAATTCAGCTATTTTCAAGCTGCTAAAATAACGTTGGTCATCAAAAAAAAAACAGATAAAAATTAACGATATCTTAGGAGTTTGACAACTTTGAGTTAATGTCTAAACTCTCTAAAAATCTATATTATGACATTTCTATTTTTCAATAAAGTACATTTAGAAAAAAATGAAGCTTTTCATTGCAATTGCACTGGTTACAAATATCGATTTATTGACAAGAAGAATGAAATGCGTGAAAAAGCTTGATATATTCAAATCATATATAAAAACGATTTTTGAAGAATGTTGGTACCGATAGTGTGATTCATGCACATTTACCAACTCACACTTCGACACATGATTGCCCCGTTGACAGGTTTGCAGTCCGCGAACGGTGAGGCTCATCCATTATTTGTGACTCCTGAGACATCCAGCTCGCCTCTTATGTTCGGGGCCTCTGGGCCTGGGCCTGTACTGCCGCCTCCACTTCCAGGCTCCTTTCTCTATCGACATTCCTCGTTTGCGCCGCCCCCGCCATTTCTGCCCCCGCCCCCTCTTGCGGTCTCTCGGCCACCACCGCTAGGCGGTGGGAGGCTATCCTCACCTCCTCCCGGAAACGGGAGCAGTGTCGGTAATGCTGGCGCACACGGAACCAATGAGACCTCACTGCCCCTGTCACCACCGCTCCCGCTGATGTCGTTCCCGCATCATCCTTTACATCGCCACCGCTCGCCCCCACCGCTGCCCCTCTTCGCTAGTGAGGCGCCACCACCACCACTTCAATCAGGGTCTTCTTTGCTCCATCGCCACATGCCACCGCCACCGCTGCTTCCGCAGTTCCAGTCACACCAACACCATACGTGGGGTGATGAGGCCTCGCTTCCCATCAGAAATTCGTCCGGTTTTCATACGCAGTCAAGGGACCGAAATGCCATTGTCCGCAATCACAAAGGTTCGTTCCTGCTCGAAGTTTGGAGACCAGCTGATTATCGTCGCACTTCTGTATCCCTTCTCTCTCTCTTTCTCTCTCTCTCTCACTCTCTCCGAGTTTGTCAGTCTTATTCCTTTAACGTTCTTTTCATACATGTCCGAATCAATGTCTCTTCTCTGGCTTTTCTTATTTTCAGAGTAGTTTTATTTGTGCAGGACAGTCAGATGCGAGCTTACATAAACTAGCTTCAAGCTTACAGGATTTTTTTTTTTTTTTTTTTTAAATTTAATATATATTTTTATTTCAAATGCAGAATATCTTAAATATATTGAAATTATTCATAATTAATTTGTATTAAAGTAAGAAAGTGAATAGATTAATGAATAAAATTAAAAAGTTGCTTGAATTTTTCAATATGCAATAATATATTCATTAAAAACAAATATTTTCAATTTCAGTTATTCATTAATTTCACTGAAAATACATTTATTCTTTTAATAATCTCTCAATATTTTTATTTTTCTCTCTACATTTTGCTTAATGTACTTGCAAGGACGCAAACGCTTCTCTAAAGTCAGACAGTTTTGGAGTACGATGGAGGGCAATAATGCCAATAAATGATGAAACGTCAGGTTTAAATATTTTGTTCATAGTTAGAAGTAGAATTTTTTCATTTTGATCTAGATTAGTCATGATATAACGTTTTGTACAATTTTTGTGTATTATTAATACTTTTTTTATTTAAAAAATGAAAATGAAATATAAACTAATTTAAATATAGAAAAACACATCCTTTCATATACATTTATCTGTAATAGTATATTTTAAGTATTAGTAAAATAGTTTAATTATTATTTTATGTTGACTGTAGTTTGCAAACATGCATTTATTTTTATTTATTTATACTTTAAATATATTTTTATTTCATCTTTTAATTATATTTGCTTATTGAATATTCAAATCGAATAATTTTATATTTATAAAATAAATTACAACTTAGTGATATTAATGAAACACTTTCTTCCAAGAATATTCTGATATATTTTTTATTTGTCTTATTAAAATTCTGATAAATTGATATTAAATATTGAAAGAGCATTTTTTAAAAATCTATTTATCTAAATAATATTAATTTTACATTATTTTATTAAAAAATAAAAATAAAATAGAGAAATTGGTTTTCAATCAGTTTACGAATTGAATAAAAATGTTTGAAATCATAATTGTAAATAAATACGTTATTACACATTTTTTTAATTTATTTCAAATTGAGTACATATTAACTTATAGATGGAAAAAATATACATTATTATAAGTGTTATTCATTGAAGGTTTTGGTTTTCTCAGGTTCCTTACATTCGTCTGGAGAGTCATTGGATAATTCTCATCATGGTGGAAAAATTTAGCAAGCTATACATATTTCAATCATTCAAAGAACGTTTTTGAAATCAAATTATTCGTATACATACAAATTTTTGACAATGAAAAGCCTTACAATGCACTGCTAATTTTTTTTTTTTTAAGGCACGTTTGGTGCTCTGAATAAAAGTGTTTTTGTCGAAATTCATAACTAATTATTAAAAATTTGTAATATATGATGGTAAGTAAAGAATGATACTCTTCTCATTATCTTTTTTATATCGTAACAATTATTTTGTGATTATATAAAGGAACGTTAAATATATTCAATTTATTATTTATAACTTGTATTTAAAAAAAGTAATTTGTCAATTCAATCAATATTATGTTAAAGTTTATAGGAAAAACGCATTTCTATGCATGTATGTGTAAAAATTATGCAGGATCGATGAATATGATAAAATCGAATGCATATAACAATCAAAGTTGTATCTATATTAATGAAATTATAAAAAAAATATAATTGTTAAATATAATTTTAAACAAATTTAAATAAATTGTAATTTATTATTAATTATATTCTTTTTCTTTTCGAATAACAATAGTTGAAAGTTATACATTTGTTTTTGCACTGTGTATTCTTTTTTACAAGGTTTGTATAGTACAAAATGACATTACAACTAAAAATTCATTAATGTGGCGAGTATTTCGCATATTTATATTTAAATATTTAAGCAACTTTTTTACAGTTATGTTAGTCTCAATGTCCTTATCATTATTTCATAAAAACGATTAAAAGATAATTATTAAAAACAGGGCTGTTTTTATTGCCCATCAAGTTTACTCAATAAATCTTCAATTATGCTAAGAAAACAACAAAAAATATAAAGAAAAATATTAAAACTGCAAAAATTTTAATCATAAGCCATCGATTATTGGTCACTGATTGAAAATATTTCAAAATTTCTGCATGTGCTGCTCCTACATTTATTTCGGTACTCTCAATATTACTATCTATCCTGAAAATAAATTATGTTATTGTAGTATTATATATACGTAAATTATAATAAATTACTACTAACCGTTCTACCATTTCTTCTTGTTCTTTCACCATATGTGCTAACTGCTGAAAAATTCCACCTAATTCAACAATAGTTGATTCAATATTTTGCATTGTTTCTGCACGAGACTGCACATAAGATTCCTAAAAAATAATATTAGCATAAATTTAATAAAATTATATTTCTATAATAAAAATTACTTTAATTTATAAATACTAAATTTTTTATATATTTTCTATATACATATGTATCTTAATTTTTTTAATAAATTTTAACATTTACAGTATCATCAAACACAGCCCTTTGTAAACTAAGTTGTCCCATAACAGGTTCAAGATCTATACTAATGGAAGCATTAGAATCATGCTCTTGTAGCAATAAAGAGCCTTGATTGCCAGAAACTACACTTGGAGGCAACATAGTTGAAACATTACCATGTGAAAATTGTTCCCTCCTTGTTTGTTCTTCTCTCATTTTCTACATACAACAAAGTTATTTATTTATTTTTAAAAAATGTTTAGATAGTGTATTTTAATTTTTTATCCAATATTTTATTTGTGGCTCAGTTACCTCAGAACGTACTTCTAAGACACTTTTAAAATGGTTGGACATATTGGCAAGTTTTGATTGTAAAGCTACAACAACAGAGGAGGAATGTGATGCAATATGATGACCTTTTGAAGTTTGATAATTTTCTCGTTGCTGCCTGCCTAAATCTTGTAATTTAGCGATTTGTTGATTTAAGCTACTTAAATCTGTTTTTATTATTGTTGTAAGCTCTTCAATTTCTATTTGTCTATCATCAAATATTGATTTTTTTTTAGCAACTGAAAAATGTAGAATGTTGAATTTTAAATGTTAAATTAAATTCCATCTTTGTGTTATAAAATATTTATTATGTTTAATGTTGTTGTGGAAATAATTTATATTGTATATGAGTTTATTAAAACTATTTATAAATTGTAATTGAAAAGTAATCCTAAGTTAATAATAAACTTTAATTAATTTTCTTTAAGTACAAAAATTAATGTTATAAATTTATAGTGATGGAAGAATTAATACAATATATAAAATAATATTAAGATGTTTATCTGATTGGCTTTTATAATTATACATTATAAAATACTATTGTATTAATAGCTTTTTTATAAAATATGTATACAATACATACTTAATATTAATAATAAATATATTCTTACTAAAGGCTCATATAAATATAATTTTGATTAAACTAGTTTACTTTATAAGTTATATATAATTTTTTTATTGTTAACTGCCAACATATTTGATATTTAAATAATATTGATAAAATATACTTTTATACTTTAATTTATACAGTTCGGAGTTATATTCATACAGTTTATACAATTTTTTATCATGAATATCTTAAAAATTAGAAATAAATTATTTGTAATAATAGATAGTTATGAGAAATACAATGCATTAATAAATAAATTTTAATAAGTAGTAGCAAAAAAGTAATAGTTTAAGTTTTCTTACGCAAGGCAAGCTTTTCAAGCTTCGAATAAGTGCTGGCTATATTTTTGCCAATGTTCTTGGCGATCATCATAAAATTTGAGTAAGTCTGTAAGTGCCTGGCTTGTCTTGGATTCTTAAGGGCCGCTACCCTTGAGGCGGTTCTATTCTGCATGCTTCGTATTGCATTGCCGAACTCTTGCGTACGATCACGCGACGTCATTGCTGGAATTAACAACTCCTGTTGTTGAATTGACGTTAACAATTTTTCATTTTCGTAGCTTTCTCGATCACTTGAACCTCGATTACTGAAACGCTCGTGTCCTGACTCGATACCTATGCGACGTCGTCGCGCTGACATCGCATCATCATTCGTTTCGGGGTATTTGACTTTTGCAGCATGTAGTGGACGACAGTGAAATTTGAATTAATTGCACCCTTAGTAGTCCAGCTGCTGCTGTTGCTACTGTTGGCTTATACAAAACGATAGGACACGTCCACATGACAGCTCTCTCCCACTCTCGGTCACTCTATAGTTTATAACCTCACTTTTTTAGCTGTAGGAATTAATAGGGTATATCTTTCATTTTATATGTTATTCATTTTATTTTTTATAATTTGCATAATGCTTTTAATAAAATGTAAATCAGAACTTATATAAGTAATATTTTATATTTTTCTTATTTTATTTATTTATTATTCGTTAATTAAGACATGAAATTCCATATATACACGTACGATATATGATCGAAAAGTAACAGAAATTGTGAGGGATTTTTAAAAATAAAATTTCATTACTATTTTTTCTTTGTGATATATATATATATATATACATATATATACAGATATTATATAAAAATATATAAGTCCATCAAATAAATAACACACTAATTTGAAATGATGTAAATAATAAAATATATATTACATGTGCACTGCAATTTGTATTTCCAAGAAAAAAATAATTAAAAATATTATAATAATTATTTATAATTATTTCATTGTTATAAATCTATGAATGTAAATAAAAGAAGAATAATTATATTTATTTAATAAAGATGTTGAATGATCATTTTAAAACTAAAAATAGCTAATTCATTATATAAATTGTAAAATAATATTTTAAATGTTTCATGATTTTACGATTGAAAAGAATTAAAAAATTATTTATATTGATCACAAACTAAATTATAAATAAATAAATTATTATATTGTATATAAATACTATTAATGTAGATTATTTAACTTTAATATTTAAAATTTAGTAAAAAATAATACAATCATATTAAAAGAATTTACAAAAATGATTTAATAATAAATTATATTACAATTTTTAAATAGGTATAATGTGTACTGATGGTTGATAAACATTTTTATTTATAAAAGATTTATATAAAAGTCAAAGTTTTAGATAGTCGGAGATTTAAAAATAGAATATATCAGCACAAATAAGACGATATTAATTTTAAGCATTATTATAATAAAATCATAATGTTGTAAGAAACAGTAATGGTATAAAATAAAATGAAAAAAATTAGCACGATACTTTAGTGTATAAAATTGGTGAAATATGAAGTGTGTAAAAACAAAGAAAAAGAAGGTGTGGTGAAATGATAAAATATAATGCATAAAAGCATAAAAGTGGAAAAGAAACATTTATAAAAGCTAGATTTATTGATAGTACTGAGAGCAAATATCGGGTAAACACAAAATAAACGTGGAAAATTTAAGTGTTCAATGATGTAATGAGGTAACTATAAAAAACATTCCGTCAGTCCTGATAATGTAGTGTTTCACAGAGAGTAAATAATTGTGAAGCAACCAATGGTGAATCGGTATAAGTTTAGCAAATGGCTCTTTTGAAGGCTCCATCTCAAGTTCCAGGTGAAACAAATTAAAAGAAAAATGTCAGTATATTTTGAATTCAATTGATGAAAATAGAGCTTGAAAGTCTTTCTTAATAGATCGACATTTCTTATAATCAAAATAAAATACAGGAATGTAGAAAATATAAAAATAAATATAAATAAATTGTTAAACACTTGAAATTATTATTAATTTTATTTAAGTATTATAAAATTACTTAATATCATTATTTATATTTTATTAACCGATGTAAGTAATTATATTAACAAGTTAAAAAAACTAAACAAGATAAGAACAATAATTTTGAAAAATATACTTTATATAATTAATAAGGATAAATTTGTTAACTATTGAAAAGGACAATGCAGCTGTTCATTCCTACCATACACAAGTATGTATGAGAAGATGTAGGAAAAATAAAGGTTCATCAAAGCTGTATATTTATGTCATAAAAATCATTATTTTTCTATACTATAAAAGATACTATAATAAAGATCATTTAATTACATATAATTAATTGAAAAAATGGAGGATAATACACACAATGGTATCAAAATAGTTTAATATTATAAATGAACTGCTGTAATGGATTTTTTATAATTAGGTTATGTTAAATAAAATATAAGAAATATTTTTAAAATTACATATATATTTATTATAATTTTCTGATACATTTTGATTGAATGTAACAACTTCAATGTGCTGAAAATTATTAAGTATTTAGGTAAGATATAAATGGACTTCCTTTTTATGTGTGTAGGATTCCATAAAACTGGAATCACTTAAATATCGTTAAAATTCGCTATTATTGAAATCGAATAATTTAAATTATTCAATCATTGTTTATGACATTTTCATTTTTCATGGAAAACATATAAACAACAATTATAAATAGCTTGCCTTTATCAAATGTCTTAAATGTCAGTAGGGAAACATTTATAGAATAGATTATAAAAAATATAATACACAGTATAGGTGAAATATTTCTATTAAATTTAATATAACTAAAATATTTCTATTAAATATAATGTAACTAAATAGTTATATTAAATATAATATATGTGAAGTATTTATATTAAATGTAATTGTATTTAATTTAAAAATTTTTCATAGACAGTAGTACTATTTCGAAATTATGTATTTCTTGATTTTGTTGTAACAAAATCATCTGTAATTTTGTTTTAAATCCAAAATTATATATTGTTAAGGATTTAAAAAAATATATTATTACAAAATTAAATTATTTGTTGAAATATTTAACTGCTATGAAAGTATGCTATCCATTAAAACATGAGTGTATTAACAAAAATTTGTCATTTAATTCCACAGGTAATATGTTTATCATTGCAGAAACATGTTGAACAAATGATTATTCTGTTATTTAATTGAATACAAAATTCCTGATGAAATAAATGATTTTAAAAAAAATTTTAATTATAAATATGAATCAGAATTTTATTTCAATTTTGTAATGGGTTGCGTGGCTTAATTGATCAATGAAAGAAATGGATTGTGACTAAAATCAAGTTAATCTTTTATTATATATATAAAAGATTAACAATTGTATTTCTTGGTTTCCAATTCGTTTATTTAAACTTTACAAATATTTTAATGTTAAATTACAATTAAATAATTGATGTTAAATTTATTGCATAGTTTTATTTTATGTCAATATGTAAAAATTTGCAGTTTATTTAAAAAGTGGTTTATTCAAACTCTGTTCATATAGAAAAATTATATTTAATAAATACAATGAATTAATTTAAGTTATAATTATTAGTTTCCTATAAAATGCCTTTAACGAAAATGACAGCTATTTCATTGTTCTTTTGTTAAAATGATTTGTTGTTATAGATTAGACAATATACTTTGCATGGAAGATAGTGAGTATATAATTAGATGTACTATTATTATGATGAATTCAAATGGTTCATAATATTATTTATTTCATATAATCTTGCCGATTATATCTTTCCAGTTTTGAGAACAATAATTATATTTTGAATAAAATTACTGGTAGAAGTATAGAGAAATGAAGAATCTCGAAGAAAATTTGACATCTTGTCCATATGAAGTTTAATATCAATATATCTTTAAATTCGGTATTCTAGTAGAAAAATTCTTTAAAATAACTTAAAATAACGTAAAAGGTGGATAACATTAGAAAGCAACATACTCATTTTAAACTTGAATAAATATTTAAAATTATTATACATTTTTCTCATATAAGTAATGAAATTATTACTTTCAAAATAAATATTATTACTGAATTTTATTATAGAATATTTGAAACATTTCATTTTACATTTATAGTGATAATATTTCATTGTTAAATTAAAAATGATATCCAAGACATTATTTACTGTATATATATAAAATTATATATATATATACATAAATATTTTTTCTATTCATTATATTTTATTACATTTTATTAATTAAATTTTCTGTTTGCTTAGTTTTATAGAATACTTATATATATATATATATACATGTACAGTTTTAGATTTCATAAATTTTTCTAAAACAATGGAATATAATTTATTATTTTTAATCAAATATGTACTAAACAAATATATTATTTTTAATGTATATAATATATATTAATATATTTAATTTTTTAAAACCAGGATTATAAGTTATTTTTCATTTGTTACAAATTAGCTCAATAGAATTTAATACATGTTTTAAAAAATTTCTTGAGTTGAATTATTGTATGTAAATTAATCTAAAAAATCAAGCACTAATCATAAATTTTATTAATTCATCTGATTTATAATTAAAATAAATAATTAATAAATGGATTGATTAATCGTAGATTATTATTTTACAAAACTAAAAAACTAGTTCCTTTTATGTATTCATTGAACTAAAATATAAAATGATATAGGTAAATAAAAGGACTTATAGATAAATTAATTGTTGATAAACACTTTATTAAAATTTTTATAGTATGAAAAATATATTACACAATAGTTTGGATTATAAATTTGTAAAAATTTTGAATAGAGTACATATTCAATATAATTTTAAATTTTGAATGAATAGTATTATTTCTGTTAATACTCTGATGAATAATTCAAAGAAAAGAAAGCACATAAGATAAGCATTATATAATAAACTTATAATTCTAGCAACGTATAAATAGTCGATACCCTTTTTTATATTTTATGTATTTAAACAATTTTTTTATTATTAACAAATTAGAAGTTATAAAAATATTGACTATTATTCTATAATAATTTATATCTTTCTTTTATTAGATAAAGTAGATACACTGTAAAAGTTATGAATAATTTTTACACTGTATGGTGAAGTACCTATCACTATTATTAGTTTTATTACTATAAATTTTTAGTTAAAAAAATATTTTAAAAAAATAGCTTTTGATTCAATGTTTGATTATCCAAGTTTTGAATTTTTTTTTGTAAGCAATACAAGTACTTTTTGAGTCGTGTTACGGTTAAATAAAAATAAGGTTTACTTAATAAATATAGACTATTTTTAAAAAATGGAGTATTTGTATTGGTAAATATTTTTGGACTTGTTTTGTAAGACGTTATATACAATTTTAGAAAGTATATTTTAACGATGCAAACTAAAGTTACCTTTTTCATTATCTTTATTACATAGTATGAAGCAAATGGATTGTTATTTGAGCGGATTCGAAACGCGTGGTTGGGATAGAGGTTAAGAAATGGATCGTTACGATTAAAACAATGACCTGGACAACGTAGGGTATCGTAATGCGGATAGCGGTAAATTTAAAGAAATGGATTCCTGATGAATATTTTGAAATTCTGATCTTGCTATCATTACTATTTAGAATTAGAGATATAGTTTAAGTGAATGGAAAAGACTCTATGCTGAGAGGGTATCAACCTGAATTTTAGGTATTTCGTTGTCAATATCCTCGACAGTTTCCACACTATGCAACACCGGCGTCGTTAACTCCTCATGTTCCTCTTGTTCCATAGTCGGAAATTTCGTTCCTGTCTCTTCTACGGAGGTTGATTCAACCGTTTCATTCAGTGGCTTTACCTCGACTACACGCACACGGAAGATTGTAGCCGCATCATCATTACCATTGCTATATGTCGTCTCGTTGATAGTTACCGCATGCTCACCAATGACCTACAATAAATCTTAAAAATTAGAATTCTATAGAGGTAAAATTATATATTTTTTTAAATATAAATCTTTTAGTTTTTATAATTATTTTAAATAATATGTCTTATTAATATTGATAGATAATACTTATATTTTATAATTATTCGTTTTAATTATTTTTCAATATACTGTACAATAGATAAAATAAAATTAAAAATAATTAAAAAATATTTCTTATATATATTGTTATATTCAAAATATTATTAAATTGTTAGTTTACAAATATAATGAATTTAAATTAGTTGAATTAAATTGTTTTTTTTATTTAAATACACTTTTCAATTAATTTTTAAAGTAGTTGAAATTCATAATCAATTAATAATTATATAATAATATCAAGTATATAAATCTTTTTATATTTCAACATAATATATATTGGATTATTTTAATCAAAATAAACGACAAACTTATCAATGAATCATAAAACTGTTCAATAAATTAAAATATCACATATTAGAATTAACTTTGTTTAACCTCGTTACAATTTTTTTATTAGAAAATGTTGACTCTTTTAGATTTAATAATAAATGTTTTACTTGATTTTGATTTACTTGATTTGATTAAATTTTGATAAATAACATATAACAGACAGCTCAATAAGTTTTTATTATAAATACCTTTGTTGTAGAAGTACTATTAGCCCCCTCAGGAATTTTACCCCATGGTGTAAGATTGCTGTGTCGCAGTTGACTAGCCAAAGCAGCAGCCATTTCAGCTCTAATTTTATTGATGGCCACTGTAAAATTAAGTATTTGACTTCAATTTATGTATCATAGAGTTTATATTTTTATAATTTTTAATTTATCGTTTTAAATATTGATTTAATATATTATTATTACAGATAAAAGCTACTTATGAAATAATAGGATTGGTTTTTGTAACATTTTCAATTTTAATATATAGTTTATTTATAAAATTTATAATTAAATTGTTTATAATGTTAATGCAAAGTAGATTCTATTCATTTACAGAATACTATGAGTATAATAAAAATAATTAAACTGACATATTATTTGATATTTTATAATATCAAAAGTGTTCTCATTAATTCTATTCTTTGGATAATTTACAAGAATTTTTTTATATAATCTCAACTTTATTAATTCTATCTATTTATTATATTATTTTTTTATATTATCATTTTTCTTTATTATATATGAAAATTATAATTATTTTTATATTCTATGAAGAAGAAAATAATTGAAGTATTAAAGTAATTGATACATGAAATTATTTCAAATCTATAAATATTCTTTTTGTATACAATATATTTCATTAGAAATCGAACAAAATTAAAATGCAAAAGTTAAAATTTCGACAGAAATAAATAGAATCAATAAACATGAAGTGTAAATAAAAAAAAATACGTTAATCGCATAAAAAATATATTACAGCCTAAAGAATAAAAAGGGTGTCATGAAGAAAGAAGTGTATTGTTTTTTATTTTTTTTTTATATAAAATGTAATAACTCAGATAGAGTGATGTGTTTAGTTAACAATTCAGTATTTTATATTTTCTTAAATCTCTATGATAACGTAACTATATAACATAAAAATGATAATTTAATGTACATCAAGTTTCTAATACAAATAGAGCTATAATAATAAATTTATATTTTTACAAACTTTTATAAGTATTATTTAATTCATTTTTTAACAATCTGCATTCGATCGAAGCAGTATATAAATATATTCTTTTTAGTAATTTTGATATTATATGAAAAATAATTTTAATTTAACTTCTATATGCATTTCGAGACAATTAAAAAATTAAATTTACATATTTTCTGTATCTATTAAAATAAATAATAAAGCTACGTATATTAAACGAATTGTTTAAAATAGAAAATTGAAAAACAGAAAATTATAGAATAAGAAATTTTTTAATTCTTTGTTTTAATAAGCCTTACATTTCAAATTTATTATAAGTTTTTTATTAAGATATTTTCGTTTTTTTTTCATTTAATAGTGATTTTATTTTTTGTATTCTTAATTGTGTTAAGATATAAGAAATTTTTTTCTATATTTCATTCCATATAAATTAAAATTATACTATGTCGTTTATATTCCTTGTTTTATAAATAAGAGACGTAAACTTATAGTCATTAAATTCATAGGCATGTATTCACCGACGCGTACAATTAGTGTTAATTCAGTTGCCAAACATAATTTCAACGAAAAGGAAGCTAAGAAACCATGTTGGAGTATAATCAAGATAAAAAGAAACGGTGGAATATAATACAAGAGTGGCATTCATAAAAGAAGGCACTTTAAACATTTGTGTTGTCGCAATAAATTTTCTGTGCATGAAGGTTCGTCTAAATGTGCAATCTGTCAGCAGTAGCAGCATCTATATCAACTTTATTATTCAAGCTTTCAATGTTAGTAAATAATGAATGAAAGATAATAAGAGTTAATGATTGGACAGCTAACTCAGGTCAATACATCAATACCCGCATAACAACCAATACGTTGAAAAAACATCAGGCACCAAACGATACGTTTACAAAACAAAATTCAAAATGATCGATAGAAGTGCGGACAAGTGCTCAAATTTCAGTAAAATGCATAATTGTATTCTGAACTATACAGTTGATTTTATCAATACCTTCATTATTCATTATTTTTTCTTTGAAACAAGAATATACACTAAACAAATTGGAGAAGTTTATACATTTAAGATTTTTAAATTAATTATTACTTTTTCAATATTGACGATTTCGAAGGTTTACTTGTAAGTTAAAAATTGAAGTTAAAATACTTCAAATATAATGAATATTTGGCATTTTAAAAATGTTTTTATTAATATGTTTAATTATTTATTTATTTATTCTATGATTCAGCATTTTTATTTAAGGAAAATTTTTTTAATAAAATATATTATTACTTTCATATATATATATGTTTTCAAAATTATATAATCTTATTATTTGTTAATATACATAATTTTTTTTTTTAATAAAAAAGAATTTCTAGTTAATTGAAAAGCTTTTTTTCAATAGTTTACATTTAAAATGTTTGTATAATTACTTAAATTAACTTTGGTAAGATAATTATTATTAAATTGATTTTTATTATAAAAATAAAGCGTTTGTTTTTATACTTAATATTATTTGTATGACTGCTACATTATATTTTTATAAATTTGTTGAAAATAATTTCTTTTATGCATTTAAAAATCTTTTTAGTTATATTTAAAAAACATTAAATGAAATCAAAATTTCTAAAATTATAAGAGAAACTTTTTTTTGACTAAAATATTCAAAACAGTTAAACTTATAGACAAATTAATTTTTCATCAAAAATTATTATTAATTAATTTTAAATGTTGATATCTGTAAATGCAAAATTAATTTCAAATTCTATATTGTTATTTAAGAAAAGTCTTTCATATAAATTAATTAATTATTTTCAAGAGTGACTATTTAATAGCATCTTAATAGATATTAAATACAGCTTGATTAAATTTCATTACGAACATATTTATTGATACAAAAAATCTGACTATCCTTTTAAACCGTGTGGTCAGTTTATAGAGCATTTGTATAAATTTTTTCTGTATTAATTCAATAATCTTTTATTATCCGTAAATAAAGATTAAAAATTTATTAAATAAATAAATTTTATATTTCTAATTTATTTATTACTATTAATGAATATATTTCAGAAAAGCATGTGAGTTTATAATATAATTGAGATTTCTACATTATTTTCTATATTAGGTAGTATTTTAAAAATTCTGATATTATATAACACGTAATGCAAATATAATAGAATAATAATTTGATATACGTAACTCGAATGTCTTTGGCTGTCAATAATAAATGTTAAATTATACAAATTAAATACACAAAGTAAAAAGAAAATTATTTTTGGACATTAATCACAATGAAAAGATACATGGATAAAAGTTTTTTTTTATTAATGGAATAATCAGATAATATCAAAGTATTTTGCATATATTCAGTAAACTGTTTGCATAGATTTATACATGTTTGATGAAATCCTAGAAACAATAGGATTGCGTGAGTTGATTTCAATTATCGGCAACGTTTATTATTTAGCATTGAGAGCACGTGATTCGATATTCTTTGAATATGCATATAATTCACACACTTATATCTACACCAAAATCTCTATTCCCATACAATTCCAATCATTCATGCTATCTATTGTCCATTATTCACAAAAATTGAAATCTCATAGTTCCCATATATTCACGAATCTGATTTATCAGATCAAGCATTATTCGTGTGTTTCGTTGCATGAAGATGAAGATGTGCAGTATAAGTTTAATAATATTATTTAATATAATAATGCTTAATTGACGAGTATATTTAAAATTTAAATAAAATACTCTGCAGCTTAATTTTTCTTTTTCTTAGTAACAACATTAATTTCTTAGATTAAACAATGATCCAATTATTTTTATAAGATAAATAGATAACGTTTCGAACTTTCGAATTTATACTGTTTTGAAATGCTTTGAATATATTTATAAAGTCCTATGTATGCAACAACATAACTTTTATGTATGTACAATTATATGAATCGACACTACATTTAAATTATTCGAGGACATAACTCAACAAAAATAACAACAATAAGAACAACAGATAAGATCATAATAATAGTAATTGGCATGTTTATATTCATAGTTTTTTATAAGCTAACCATTTTTGTATAACATATTCTCAAAGTATATTTTTAACTTGTTAATGATAAAGTTGAGACCATTCCGATTAAAATCGACCACATTTTTAGAGTTTCAAGTATATACTTCACGACTTCATTTAATCTCATTTAAACATAAAAAGGCTTTTCAAGAATATGTTTTTATGTACATTTCTTCTCGAAAATTATGACACTAATTTATTTGAAATTGCAAAAAATATTGTGAACTGAAAACTAAATAATTCTAAATCAAGAGTTTAAATGTATTTTTATGTAATTATTAAAAAATATTAACGAGTACAAATAAATTCACATAAATAATTAACGAAAATAAATCGTAATTGAACAAGTTTATGATGGTACCATATTAACTTTCAATAAATACCGTTTTATTTATTATAATATATTTTATTTACTTATAGTTTTATATAATACAATTCAATATTATACTTATATACTATAATCAAATATAGTATTAATAATTTCTAAATTTTATATTTCACACAATTTAGGTTTAAATAATAATAATGATACAACATTTTTGTAAAGTCATACTTATCAAGATATCAGTTACTATTTTTTTCTTTTTAATATATTTATAAAAAATATGATGAATTAAAAATGATGACTAGAATATAAAATTAGTAGTAAAAATTATTTTTAAATAATATATTTTGTTATATGTTAAATATAATTATATATACACGTATTTATTTATTTTATGTTTGAGAGTAGAGTTTATTTCTTTTTTATTTTTATAAAAATTTGATTACAAATATTTTATTGAACATATCTTAATTATTTATGATAAAAGTAAGAAAAATTATAATTTAAAAAGCGAAATTTTAATGATTATAATCAGATGATATAAAATATGAAATCTTAAATTTAAGAATAATTAATATATGAAAAAATGAAAAATTTTTACTATAAATTATAATAAATCAATATAATGTGTATTAATATAAATAAGAAAAATTTTGATACTTTATTATTAGAATATGTATTAATATGAATAAAATTGGTTAATTAAATGAAGTCTGTTATTTTTTTTAATATAGGATTTTGCAATCAATATAATGTAAATACAAGCATAAGACCTATACCAATATTATATTAACTGTAAAAGATTTTTAAAAAATGCAAATTTTTTATTTCGCAATTATTTTTAATTTCATTAATATTTAGTTTTTTTTCATATAGATAATTTCAACACTTAATACAAATGCTTTTTAATTGAAATATTTTTATTAATTTTATATTAATATAATTCAGTTAGAACTATCAACATATGATTTTTATTTTCGTCTAATTGCTAAACATCTCAGCATTCATACAATATAAATCGTAGTTAAATAAATTCATTACTTTTATAATTCCTACTTTTTTATATACGGCAAGATTGCATCGAGAATGATGTTAAATATTGGCTTATCTTATTTACCGTTATAAAACAATAAACACTACTTAAATTCTTCAATAATTATGAACATAAGTTTTCGTTAGCACATACAGTAGTAGATAATTGTAGAAAACAAATGAAAAGGATTAAACATTATCAGCTGTAAGTTTCGATAGGACTTGGATTGCTAGAGTATCGAACTCAGAAAAATATTATAGAAAAAGCTTGCAATAAATAAACAATTGCATTAATAACTGATCGGCTACAAAGTGCCTACCAGTGCGAAGTTAGGCTGCACGTGAAAATTGATGTAACTGCAGCTGATATAGATCTGCGATACTAATCATTTATGTATTTTCAGGCAAGCATAACGTATGTCCGGCAGCGATATGCATTAACGAACGATCAATTCTATGTCGTGTATCTATATGTATTCTTACTCTTGGAGTTGTAGGGAGGTCGACATCATTGTGCAAGCCGTCATTGTTTGTACCACTTGCGTTCTCTTTTCCCGACGAATGAAGTTTTTTGGCCATATACCAAGCTTAAGTCTCTCTGACGCATATACAAAGTGGTGGATGATATTTTTTTAATATCTTCTACAATACCGTATATAAAATGCCTCTTAGCAATAAAAAATGAATAAAAATTAAATAAAAAATGACGTAGTACTGTATGCCTATTATTAAATGTACATTTTGAAGTTTAATGCCATAGGAAAAGGTGCAATTAATTTAATTTATGAATGTGTTTTCAAAAAAAAAAATAAATTTATGTGAAAAATCAAAAGAATCATTTATTTCTTATAGCTATTTCTAAACTTGTTTTAAATTTTATAAGTAAATAGTAACTATTAGTCTTACAATGCAAACAATCATTACTTATATATAAAATCGTAAGTATATAAATAGTTATGAAAAAGTTAACCTTTCGAAAATATCATTTCAATAAGATACACTTTTTTAAAAATATATTTGAATGATTTTTTATATTGCATTAGGAAATTAGAAACAGCTATAAAGATATAACTTTTACACATACATCATTTTGAAAATTTTGAATTAGCAAAAAATACATACATGAATTCATAAAAGAACTTATAATATTATGAAGACTATTATTTTCTGTTAAAAAATTTTTTACTATATAATATTTAAAAAATGTTTTGTGTACATTTTTTAATACATAATATATATCTTTGTTTTAAAAAAGTTAACAAGTCAACTTTATTATTAAAATTTTATAAATGTTAACGTGGAATAAATATCTTTATGATAAATTCGGTAATTGAGCACTAAATATAAGAAATTAGAACCATCTTCTATTTCTTTATTAATTGCTCTTGGAATCGCATTGACCTTACTTGAAGGTCCTTACTTATACCTTTCAATATGTCTTAACATATATTTCTCATAAAATATTTCTTAGATTAAAAAGTTATCGCCCATCCAAACAATAATAAATCATTCAGATGATTAGTCATTAGTGGGGCAGCTTGAAAAATGTCGTGTCGTATCAGTTTTATAAAAGAAATTGCAATTGCACAGTCAAAATATTTTAATACTGTTTTCTTGAATTTTCATAAACATTTAGTAATGAAAGTGAGCTTTCTTTATGCATACGAAAGAAGCTCGTGATTGCATGCTACAATTACGCGTTGTTATACTAATCCATTTATGTTGAATTTTATTAGATAACAAAATTTTATTTCTTATGACGAGTTAACGCTTAAAATTTCTAACTTTCTGTGTCGGTGCTAAATTTATAATGATATAAGATCTTGCGAATGTTAATAATTAATATATTCATAGATTTTTCAGGCATAGAGTCGGGTATTGTAAATAATTTTCGTGCCAATGTTGCATGTTGTGCAGCTACGTATCAACACAAATTATATCTTCTTCTTATTTTAATTTCTAAATTTTTTCGTTATAGAGAAATTTTTATATAAAAATTCTAAAAAATATTTTATTATGTTAATGTGACATAAAAAAAACAAAGATTTTATGTGAAATTTCATCAAGTTTTATTTGGGGAACATAATTTTCTTAGACTTTTTTTTTGTAATTTAATTTGGTTATTCGTTTTTCGTTATGTATCGGTGAAAATAAAATATACGAATATATATTAAATGTATACATAAATTTTTATATCCAGTTATTTACATGAATATTTATAATCCCACGACAGGTGCACAAAATTGTCCGTTTTAATTACAAACATTTACAAATAAAGGCAAAACATATGAAAATAGAAAGAAGAGTCGATAATGCATTACGCATTAGTATTGGGAAAGATCAATAACGCCATTCCATATACATAAACAAATAATACCGCAGTGCGTGTGTAGATTCGCTGTGTTCTATTTAACAGCTTATTAGGAATGTGAGTTTCGAATTCACCACATATAAATCCTCAATCAAGTTTACACGCTAAACCGTATACACACTCGCACGGACGCAACATACATAATTTGCGTGCAAATTTAATATTATCCAAAACGATGTTTTTTATCCATATGAATGTTAAATCGTCCGTGGAGATCGTTCATCCACTCACTTACTTTCTCTCTTTTTCTCTTTCGAGTTCACTCTTTTTATTCTTTCTTTTCTCCTTCTCTATAGTCACAATGTTTTATCGAAAGTTTTTCGAAAGTTGTACATCGCATTCAGATATTATTTCTCTTCCATTAACTGCTTCTAAAATATATCGAGCTATTGAAATAGTTATAAAGAAGAAGATTTAGTGAACTTTCCAATATTTTCCGTATAATTTATAATTAATTTTAAAACTTGTAGAGACATCGAGAAGTTGCATTACATTTAACGACGCGATCAAATTATCGATTGATGTTTGATATTTGAATATTTCTTTAAAAAAAAAAAGAAAAAAGTCATAAAAATACAATTTAGATAATTATGAATATTACTGAATTAAATATCATTTCAATATGAAGAGCTAACTGTTGACTGTGATAGAATATTTGAAATAATTTTAAATATAAGTGATACATATGTAGAAATGAATAAATCAATAATTTTATTTAAATTTTTATATTTTATATATCATGCTCAACTTATGTGTAATAATTATAGCTTATTAAAAAATGTGCATAGTTACATTTTAGATAAATGACAGGCTTGATATAATTATCAATATTAATATATTGATAATAATACATAATTATTAATATTAATATTTTGTAAAATATAGTATTTTCAGTGTACATAAAAAAATATTTAATGTTGTAATACCCATAGTATTTTAGAAGAAGGATTTTTATTTACTTTTAGATACCTTTATAAAATATGTCTGTTCACTATATAATTAATTGGCCTCAAATTATGCATTCTAAATAATACGTTTCAGGTCAGTTCAATCGATTTATAATCGTACTTACTTTGCATTCTAATCATCAGACCATCAAACGGGCTGCTGTCAAATCTGAATGGACGCCATAGGCTAGTTGTTAATGGTTTTTCTTCATCAGTTTGTTCATCAAAGATATTTTTGCGTACAGGTACAACAAGGACTACTCCGTCGTCTTTGTCTTTAATCTCCATTGATTCGATAGAATCACGGTTTGCACCTAGAAATAAGTTGTCCATTTATTTTGGAAATCTAATTTTCAAAATCGATAAATATATATAAATAGCTGTATAATTTCCATTAAATTCAAAGGTAATCCACGAGAGTTAAGTAATACAATCTTATTCGTATTACGATTATTATCATGGCTTAGTGATAAGATTTATTTTATAAAAATAAAATAGTGAGTTAATATTTTGTATTTAAATTATTAAAATTTGTTTTTCAGTTCCTCCTTTAAATTTGTAAAAATTGTTTTAGTTTTTATAATATATAATATATTTTATATAATTTTATAATATATAATTTATGTCTAAAGATGATTTTATGTAATTGAATTAAAATATGATAAAATTCTTATAAAAATTATCAAAAAAACATTGATTGCATTTTCATTGATTAGAATTAACACAAACGCGCGTGCACCCACACATAATTTATGAATTACTTTAAAGCTATTTTCCATTATTTATATTTTGGTTTTTAAGTAGGTTTATTATATAATTGTTAAAAATCTAAATTATTAACAATGCAGTAATATTCGATTTTATTTTACTATTGTGATTTCGAATAATAAAGAAATCAGTGATTTACATATATTATACATATTTACATATATTAAAAAAAATATTAAAAATTTTTTAATTTGATTCCTTAAAATATTATTAAAAGGCTTTTTTAATTTTTATTAAATATTGGTTGAACTTTTTAATAATAATTTTAGATAAATAAGGAACTCGCCTATGTAAAAAGTATAGGTCAACTCTTCAGTGAAATTCTATAAGTTACGGAAAGTTTCAAGATAATCCTAATAAATGTTGGACTAATTAAAATTTGAGTATTCTTTATCTTTCATTAATTGATATTCTACATGTGCCTTAATTAATAATCAGTTATAAACTACGATTACTAATCAATTGTAAACAATGTTTGTAATTAATGAACTTTAATAATATTGAGATATCTCATGTATTTGTTACTAAATGTAGAATTTCTACATTTCAGAAGATTTTATTAATAAAATCATTGCATTTTAAATTATGGAAACGTTTATTATGGAATTAAATTAAAAGTTTAAAACTAAAATAAATCGTTTACTTTTTCATATATAAAATCTAATAAAATTATTCAATTATATTTTTTGATCGTATCAATTCTAAAGAAATTTTTTTACTAACTTTTTGTAGCTATATGCAACTAGGTTGGTTATAATTAAAATTGTTAAATAGAAATATAATCGAATAAATTTATGATGAAAAAGTTGTAAAAAATGGGATGTTATTCGTGAGTTATTTAGTGTATACATTTACAGAAAATTTCAAAATATGAAAACATTTAATTAAAAAACATTTTTGTTGTATGCTTTTGATTTTCTTAATATTGAGATATTTTTTAGATTTGTACTATATTTGTTATGAGTTTCTTAGTCGATACAATATGATTGTACAATCTCCACAAAATAATTAACGAAGCTATAAACAATAAATATTAATATCATGATTAAAAAATGATTCTATTTTTTAAATATAGTTTTGTAAGGAGAAAAGTTAAATACGTTTATTTGAATTTTTTCATGTAAAGGAAAAATTTCAAATCAAGTTTTCTGAAGACCTCATTTTCAGAAAATCTCATACTTTTTCGAGTTTTTTCTTTCTTCATGTATTATTACATAAAAAAGTAAAGTGTATAGAATTTTTAATTTATTTTATGCAATAAAAAAACTAATTAATATTATTTTATAAATGATTTATATTAATTATTGTTTTAATAGTTCACTTAAATTTCTATAATTTAGTCTTAATTTTTATCTATTACTTTGTTAACTTCGTGTTAACTTTGAAAAAAATTATTCAAATTTTTCTTTTTAAATAATTTGTAAATAAATATGATTTTACTATGAAATAAGAATTAAACTAAATAAGGAAGAAAACTTTTCTAAATGAGAATTTGATAATTTTCATGATATGAATTTGATAATTCATATGTGATCTATTTATACTTACAGTGAAGAATTTCTACTTTTTAGAATCATGACAATTTTTTCTGATTCTATTTAAATACATTTAAAAAAAAAATGTTAATATTTTTACATATTTCTACTACATCGAAGTACAAGTACTTATATTCTCCATTAGGCGCTTTATAATGAATATTTCTGTTCTATCTTACTGATACTGAATTTGTACGTTTAATAATGAAAATTTATTGATTATGAAAAAAGATACATTCAAAATATTTATTAAAGTTTTTTACTTAATATTTGTTTCATATATAATGAATTAATATATCAGCAATGAAAATATTTAAAGGAACCATCAAAATATTTATATGATTAATAGAGTAATTTATTAACAATTAATTATTTATTAACTGTTAAATTTAATTAAATTATTAACAAATTATAATATTAAATATATTCTTCGAATTTCTTTTTTATCATAGAAATTTATAATTGGAACAATTAATATTTAAATATATTATAGAATAAATAAAAAAAACATTTTTCTTTAATGTAAATTGATTATCCAATTGATTTTAAATTTTCATTCTTGATCAAATATAAAGAGTAATTTCACGGTTTCTGAAGAAAAAAAACGTTGTAAAACAAAATTGTTTAGTTACGAATCATAAGGAAATACAACGATTAAATATAATGTATAATTAAAGGGATAAAAAGCAAACGGTGAATAAATTGGATTAATATAAAAGCATAATCGGACTTATAATTAAACGAGAAAAGTCACAGAAATTGATGCATAAATGCAATTTAACTGTCTGTTAAATTCGATTTTGCGTTTATATACACTTTCAATCGTTCTAACATCATTTAATTTTGCAAAAAATATTTCCTGCGTCTCAGTCAAATGTTGCGATCCACCTTACTAAGCAAACATAATGCAGATGGCATGAGGTTACATGAAAAAATGTTTCAGTGTTTCTGTGACATTGGATTGGATTAATGCTAGACGAGCAAGCAGTTTGCATGGTACCGAGTAACAGTGGAGGTATGACGAGGCGGCTGAAATAATTGTATTTCCGTCATGCAACGTTGAAGTTTCTATTCCCTCTTTCCCGTCCCGACCTGTGTCAAGCCATTCTCCATTGATCCTAGCTGATTATCCAATTTGCACTGATCGCTGTCAATTTATGCCACTGACGTGGGAGTCACTTCCAGGCAATTTATCACAACTTTAACGTGATGGAGATTCACTCCGATCCCTCCTCGCTCACTCAATTTCTTTTGCTTTTACTCATTTTTCAAACATCGTTCAATATTATTCGTAATATTTATTTAAAAAAATGAAATTTATTAAATATATATGATTTTGATGGTGTGTATATATATTCTTTAATAAAAAGTAATTAAACTCGTAAGTTATGTTTACTCTTTGTAAAGCAAATTTAATTTACACCATTTCATTAATTATAGATCAATTTTGAATAGTGACTCACTTTTTTTTCATAATAATTTATTATAAAATTTTTAATTAATGAAATTACTTTATTAAATATTATGAACAACATGTAAATATAATTCAGAAATATAGTTAATGACAAATTATATTGCAGTTTGATTAATTCAATTAACGAATAATATCATAAATTGAATAAATAGTTTAAAATATTTAAGCACTTCTATAATTTGTTACATTTAAGTATGACAATTTGGAAGTTATACTCGTGCGAAATCAAACGCAATTAAGTTGGAAGTTAAACAAATAATTTTGGTATATCAAAATTAAAATATGATCAAGACATATAGATTCAATACTATTGTTGTATTCTGAGGAATTATTAATTTGTATAAGTTAATGAATAAATGTCTTATAATATTCTACAACGTGGAACAATTAATATTTGATATATCAATGAAAATGTTTTGACGATTCAGTGCTTGTAAGATTAATTGTATCCAGTAATTTGATGGGATAGGTAGAGTATTGTTTCGTTTCTAATAAATTTAGTTTTTCTGATAAATAAATTTGATTTTGTCAGGGTTTTAATGCTCTAAATAATTCAATAGAAAGTTGATTGTATTATATTCTTGATTAATTTTAAAGAGAAAGTTTTATAATTATCTATATATAATGTAAGTTTTTTAAAGAATAAATATAATTATTAAGTTTGAAAAATATAATGTTAGTATTCATTTTTTTAATCAAATTGAATTCAATACTAATTGTTGGTTTAGCATCAGCTTATGCAAGGTGCATAATTATTTTGTGCTATATATAAAAATTTGCCTAAAAAATTAATTGATGAATAATTATAACACTAAAATGTTTATTTATTTTCACATTGACAGATGGAATTTTATTAAATCCCATTATTGACGTATGTATATCACGTTTTGAGCCTTATTGTAAACTGGATTTTCATCTTCAAATCCTGACATCTGCTCAGTTGTATAGGTAATTCTCATCTTTCTCTATTAATTTTTTTTATTAGTTTGTAAGTTGCTAATTTTCTCTATAAGTACCATATCTTTTATTTATTTTATTTATTTCGTTTTACATTGCTTTTTATTAATATCCATTATGAATTATATCTTTGCCATAAGTCCACTAATCATGAAATAATATATCTATATATATATACCACCATTCATGTTATATATCAAAATTATCGCATGATTTTGGGCACAGGATACTAACGTTCTCAAAAGAGTGTTTCCACCTTGAAGTATTTCATACATGCCAATATACTTTCTATATTTATTAAAATTTATTTTCTTTTCAGGAATTTTAATTATTATAAGTATAATTATAGACTTATTATTTTGTAAAACAAATATAACTATGTACAACGTATATTTTATTCTTTTAATATATAATATTAACTGTTTATATGGATAATAATACTTTCATGAATTTTCAAAAATAAACTAGAAAAAAAATATAATTTTTTTAGAAATATAGTTTGATAAGACTTATAGAACAGATAAAATTTTGAAAAATGGAAGGAACTAATAATAGTATTCTATGTTTCTTCGTTGAAAGT